CTTGCTTAAACAGCTACTAATTAGTATTATATCTAACCTAGCAACATTTGGTGTTCAACAGGCTTGTGTGAACTGGCCCGAGAATCTGAGTATCAAATAAAATGGGTGTCCCTAGATGGGGTATGCTAACCATTAGAGATAACTCAGAACACCTCTTGCCTACATTACCTTGAAGATAGGCCTTGTGTGAAGATAAGTTGTGTCAGGTTTCTTATATGGCCCATTTTATAAAGTCTCTATATACACTAGGTTGGAGCTTAATTATTCACACACATATGCACATATGGTTTACATATTTGTTTAGGTTCCAGGAATTGAACATAGGACCTTGTTCTTGTCAGGCAGATATTTGTGCCACTGAGCTATATATCCTTGGCCCTATTTTAAAAATTATGAGTCAAATATATAGAAATGGAGCTATTCTGACCCACAATATTGAAGTTATTGCAAGAATACTTCACAGCCAAGTATTGCTGTGAAGCCTATACCATGAATGCAGAAACATCTGACTTAGAATTTAACAACTATATGTAAATTGAATATTTATTGTTTCCAATAACATTTATTGGCAAGTCATTCCACAAGGCAAATAAGTGCTTCTTCCTTTGTACTTCTCAGCCCAATTTTTATTAGTTTTGCTTAGAGTAGGTGACAAGGAAAATGTCCTGAAGATTGACTAGCCTCTGCATATTTAAGCATTCCCTGAGCTGTTTTATTTTTCAACTGGAGAAAGAATCACATGAAGTAAACTCTGAAAAACATTTATTGAATGTTTAAAAGTGCTAGGCTCTGGGTCCTTGCCATCGTAGAGCTCTATAATCTAATTAGGGAGATCAACAGGGGAGATATTTCACATTTGTACGTATATAGTCATGTGTCACTAATGACCTAAATATATGCTGAGTGACATGTTGTTAGGTGATTCCACCACTGTAGTGACATTATACGGTATACTTTACATACACCTACGTGGTAGAGTTTTCTCATCCTAGGCCATATGGTATAATCTGTTGCTCCTTTGCTACAAATCTGTAGAGAGTGTGGCTTCATTCAGTTCTCAAGGCAGCTGTAACATAATGGTGTTTGGGTCTCTAAGGACATCTAAACATAGAAAAAATACGATAAAAATACAATATAACGCATAAAAATTAGTGCATTCCTATAGAGCTCTTATTATGAATGAAGCTTGCAGAACTGGAAGTTGCTCTGGGTGAGTCAGCTAGTGAGGGAACAGCGAATGTGAAGCCATAGAAAGTACAGTATAGCAAATATCTTAGCCCATAATTACTTGTTGTAGTGTCATATACTGCACATGTTTGTTTGTGTGATACTTTTGTAGAAATAACTGTGCAGTAGATTTATTTACATCAGTATCACCACAAACATAGCAGTAATACATTGTGCTACCATTTATAACAGTTACAAAATTACTGCACTAGGTGAAAGGAATTTTTCAACTCCATTACAATTTGCTAGGACTACTCCTATCCACTGATGACTAAAACACTATTATGCTGTGTATGACTGAAATAGCATGTGAAAAATAAATGACTCAGTGTCTTCATAGACAAAATAATTTTAATAATGTTACCTCCCACATACAGATATGAGGATTAAATGAGAAAAATGATTACTACAGTGCCTGGTACAGGGTAAGCACTTGTTATTTACTGGAAGCAAAGGTGACAAAGGAGGACAAGCTAACAGAGATGAACAATGTGAGATCACTGAATTTAATGTGGATGAGAGTTTCAATGGGAAATCATAGTACACATGCGTCCAAAGGGAAAAGGATTGGGGAACAGTCATATATGTATCATATATGTATCTTGAAGGCTTATACTCAGCACAGACTACACACTGGCAATCAAGCCCTAAGAATGGGGCTGAAGGTGGAAACTGAAGTTCTTCATTCTATGAAGCATTTATGATATACTAAGGCATAAGAAGATATCCCTTTGGTGCACGTAATACACACTCAAGAATTATTTGTTGGCTGGGCATGGTGGTGCATGCCTATAATCCCAGCACTCTGGGAGGCTGAAGCAAGAGGATCTCAAGTTTGAGCCCAGCCTGGACAACTCAGCAACTAGGCAAGATCCTGACTCAAAAAAAAAAAAAATTCCAGGAGTGCAGTACAGTGTGAAAGTCTTGAGTTCAATCCCCAATACTGCAAAAACAAAAAGTAAAAAAGAAAAATGCTCACTTCTTTAATGTAAAGTGACAAACTAGCTTCAAAGGCCCGGAAAAAGGAGGAAATTCTTTTACCTTGTACACAAGACACTGTACCACTGGGGAACAAAAATGATAGAGGATTCCAACACCACCACTGATGCAGCACCTGTAGGCCAGAATGAAAAGGCCCCAATCAATCTCATAGTTGGCAGCAGTGGTGACTGTCAGATATGCAGAGATGAAAAATGTTTTTCTAGCAGTCATAGAGATAGATGTTAGGGAGGAAAAACTTTACTTACTTTCTTTCTTTCTTTCTTTTTTTTTTTTTTTTTTTTTTTTGTCTTTTTCCTTTTTATCGGTACCGAGAATCGAACTCACGACTGCCTGCTTGCAAGGCAGGCGCTTATGCCGCTGAGCTAAATCCCCAGCCCCAAAACTTTACTTTCTTACATTAAGTGACATTGGTCCCATTAGTCAACGTATCAAAAAGGCAGATTAGCAGAAGGCACATAGTTTTATTAACATTTATGTTAGACATAGGAGTTTATAGTATATACCGTTTAACCAAAGGACAGTGTTTGGGCATCAGGTGATGGTAAACTCTAGGGAAGTGAACAGGAAATATAACTCATATGGGGTAACTTATGAATGACAAAGGCTATTTTGGTTAGTTATGTGTATACAAACTCATCTTGCTGTTGACTTCCTATCTTCAGTGATGAAATTCTCTTCCATCCTTGGTATACAGGAGGAGCAAAGTTCCTCAAGGGGTAAGTTATGCCCTGCTTTTAGGCAGATAAGAGTAGCCTAGAGAACTCTTCATGCAGCTATTTATACTCAACTTCCTTTAGCTTGAAATAAATCCTTTGGTCAAGTGGCACATTTTTATGTTGCATATTCTGAATCCCTTCAAGAGTAAAAGCAAGAAAGGAATAAAAAGGTGGAAAACATGTGATAGTAAGCAGAGCATCCCTTTAAACTCAAAAGAGAAGATCTTTGGTGCTTCCTGAAAATCATGGTGTGGGCAGGTGAGTACAGACTATATGGGAGAATGAATTTGACAAGAGAAGTTAAGAGCAAAAACTTGTGAGCATCACCTACACTGAGACTGATAGGACTGGGTGAAATCTGGATGTGTCTGATTAAGGAAAGGGAAGAGCACAAAATGGAGAGAAGATGTCTAGTCTGAGTTATGTGTAGTTCCCTCATTACAAGTGGAGCTATTGGGATTTTTAGTCATTTTTCCAGAAGAAAATCAGTGAGGGATAAAGGAGAACCAAGCTAGTAGAGATCAGCCGAGTAATGTACAGTTTAATGTAAGAAGTTGGCATACAGAGATTCGAATCCAACCAGATTATCTGTCTAGATTGTGAGTTCTTGGTTGCAGCATGGTAGAGGATGAATTCTTACCCACCTCACACAAAGGCTTTTCACTTCCTATTCTCTTTTCACTTCCTATTCTCTTTGATCTGTTCTATACTATCTGTCCCTCAGGGGAAATAGCTCTCATATTTAAAACAAAATGATTTTCTTTGCCTTTTTTTCTTTCTCAGCTACTTTCTTCATTGTGACTTTCCATCTCCTGTGGTGCAGCTTCTCCAAAGTTGTCTTGAGATCATAGCAATCATTTCTCATCTCTGTACCCACTTACAATCCACCCCGATAGGCCTCTGCTTCATTCACTCTGGCAATACTTCTCTTTTTCCATGCTGCCAATCCAAGTGCACACTTTTCTATGCTAAGATTACCTGACAGCTCAGCAGTCTTTGACACATGAATCTTGAAGCCTTGTGATACTTTGACTTCTGTAGTAACATACATTCAGCAGTTGCTGGAGGTCTGAGGGAATTTAGTTTGGATCAAAATGTGTGACAAAACTCTTACCCTGCTCCCTGTAAATTTTTTTTTGTACAAAAGAACAATGTCAGTAACAGGTCCCCTTGAAGCCTGAATCAGTGACCTAAAGGGAAGTCAGACGCCAATGCTCAATTTCCATTCCATGGCAGTCTTGAATATCTGTGATCATTAATGAGTGCTTACTTTGTACCAGATAATATTCTAATGACTTGGCATGCATTAACTAAATTAAACCTCACAGCAAAATTGCAGGCAAAGGGTATGAGTACCACTGTTATCCCATTTTATGGTTGGAAAGGTTAAGAAATACAGCCGCTAAGTACAGAGTTGACTTAGAAATCCAGGATATATGCATATCCATGTTCATAGTAGCACAACTCATAATAGCTAAAAATTTGAAACAGCCAATGAGTCCATCAGTAGATGAGTCAGTAATAAAAATGCAGCATTAGACACACAGACTCTGCCATAAAGAAGGACAAAGTTGAGTCATTTGTAAAGAAATGGATGCACCTTATGACCATAATGTTGTGAAATAAATCAGACACACAAGTTTAAATATCACATGGTTTCTTTATATGAGCAACCCAAAAATATACATAATTAAAGATCAAAATAAAAGAGAGATAATAGGAAACAGGGAGACAGATCTTTTGCAAAAGGGAAAGTGACCAAGATGTTGAGGATCAGGGAAGGGATGAGAGGAGAAGGGGATGAAAAAAAGACTTAAGATGTGTTATGTACATGTACCAATTTCCCACAATGAATGTAATCATTATATGAAAAATGTACTAATAGAAAATTTTAAATCCCTGTAGTCTGAATGCAGAGATCACCCTGTGACCACCACACTATTGCATAAGGAGGGTGTCAAGATGTGTGAAAGCACCAGGCCAACCCATCACCTGCTATCTAGTTCTGAGTCAATAATGATGAAGAGTCAATCACACATGCCACTTGCTTGCAGATACTTTTCAAAATTAAAATTTTTATTAATTTAGAAATCCAGAAATACAGTGACTACATAAATAAGTACCATGCTGAGGTACCTGTCCTATGAGAAGAGTGAAAGGGTAATATTGTTATGTTACTCTTATTTGTTTACATGAGTTAACTAGAAAATGGCTGTTACTGTGAAACGCTGCTTATGGTTTTTGTTGTTCCAAGTGTTTATGATACAAATAAATACACAAGAAGAACCACATCCATTTTCTCTACTAACTACAGGTGGCTTGGCCTTTTTCCTAAGACCTACTCTCTACACAATACCAAACACTGGAAGATTTCTATGATCATTGAAATAGCTCACCAACTCCTGCTTCCCACAACACTCTGGGAAGATGTGTCCCAGCACCAAGAGTCAGGCATTTATCTAGGGAAGCTCTCTGGGTGTCACTTTAAGGATGATCATTCAGAGAAGCCCTGGGAAGCCTTTGGGGTGAAGCATCTAGAAGTGGAATCACCACTTTGCTTCAGGATCCAGCTAGTGGTCTCTATGCTACGGAAATGACTGCCATTGAAAGGGAGGCAGCAGCTGTCAAGCACCGTGACTCCCCTTTCAATAATGCTTTGTGGCTTTTCAGCCCAGGATGTCCTACCTTCCTCTCCAAAAGAGAATGTGTGTGGTGGGACGGGGTAAGGAATGCCCCATGAATTCCTTGCCATGAGGTCCTTATGTCTCTTTTACAGAAACATACTCTTTTATGGCAGATTGCCATTAATACTGGGCCTTTTACATTTTTCCCTATCGATGTCAAATACATTAAGGGAAAACTGTTCTCTCCCCCATCATCATAGAGTGGGAAATATGGGATTTCTGAGTCCTCAATACTTCTATTAATACTCATTAGAGTTCATTATGACCCTCAGAGAGGACAAATCCAGATGCATGCTTGAGGTTCTTTTTTGTGAAAAATTTAGTCTTCCCACAGAGATGATGTCTAAATCCAGACTTCAGAATTGATTATCTATGCTCTTGTATGGTACTGCACATAGACATTTTATGAACGGTCTTTTCTAGAATACCAGTGGAAATTTGCGCTTGTTGGATAAGATGAAAATGGTACAGATATTTAGGATAAGGGGCTTTATCAGAATTCTCAGCTCCTTAAACAAACAGTAACTCTCTTAACTGAAGAACCAACATTCAGAATCTCATGAAGACTGAGCCTGTTTGCACAGTGAAATCTCAAATCTTGAAGAAGGAAAACAGCCCTTTTAAGGGTTGTCTAGAATTTAATAATCCAGCCTAAATTTTCTGGCTACACAAGTACAGCCTCAAGAAAATTACTGAATGTTGATTTACTAACTGGTAGATTTTTATGCTATCAAAACAATAAGATAACCTTTCTGACTTTTATCAGTTCCTTTTTTCAACAATTACTTTGTTTATATCGATTCAGCTTCTGATATTACCCGATCTAATTTCTTTTTGGAGATTTCATAGGGGAAAAAAGAAGTTCTATCAGTAGGGAAAAGTTATTTATCACCTTAAAGTGGATGAGGCCAGAAATGGTGCTTTTATACTTTACCCTGCCACTATAGTTGCTGAATTCAAGAGCCATCTCAAAGGCCTAAGAACAGAGCCTTTTGCTTAAAAGGCTTTATTTTTCCTCTTGGGTGCAGATCACCTCCAAGGTGTTTCAGGCAGAGAAAGGCAGATTGTAGGCTTTGTCTCCATGCAGAGGCTGTAGTTTTATCTCTCTCTCTCTCTCTCTCTCTGTCTCTCTGTCTCTCCCTCCCTCTCTCTCTTTGTGTGTGTGTGTGTGTGTGTGTGTGTGTGTGTGTGTGTGTGTGTGCATATGGGCAGTTAATTTTCTTTTAAAGAACAAAAGACTTTCTAACATTCAAACAGTATCATTTCATATGAATAATCGCTCTATTCTCCAGAATTCCTACTAATCAATTCCCTTCTCTTTCTTTCATTTGAATAACATTTTAGATAGAAACTCTGTGGTTTCATTTGCTCTTCAGCATGTAAAGAAATGTGATTCTCCAAGAAACTAGAGCTGTGTGGTGGTGTTCGATCCCTCCTCTTCCCACAAATCATTCAAGATTCTTTAGTCTCTTTAGAGGAGGTGGATAAGGGCTGACACACCACTCCACATAAAGGAGCAAGTTATGCTATGCATGGTGTGAATAACTGCATTCAAGTTTGGCATTATAGGGTACTGTTGAATTAAGCAAAGTAAGCTGACAGTCCAGCTGCAGCTTGAGTTTTCTTGCTTGACCCTATCTAATACTTTTTGACTCGCCTAACATTGGCCCTTTTCAGATCTCTCCAGGTACAAAACCTTGACTAAATCTTCAAGCTCTGTTCTGCACACACGGCTTGAACACATCTGGCTGATCTGAGCTTCTCCTTCAGTGAATATCTTCCACTGGCCTGGAATATCAAACACAAAAGGGATGCAAAGTGTAAGAGTAGACAGAATCAATGGAACCCCTTACCTCACCCCACCCACCTACTTACTCATCAGGCCACCAGAGGATTTCAAAGACAACTGGAAAACTCTTGGTCCAAGGTCAGGGAACTCCTCTGAACTCCAAATGTGTTTTGAACTGCTTTGCCTTACCCAAGCTACATGAGAACATGCTCCCTTCCCCTTGAGATGTGATCCTGATTCTTTCTCCCTTGGATTTCTCTCTTTTTACTATTCTCTCTGATGCAATCGGAATGTAGAAGGAAAAAGGCAAAGACGAACAGGGCAAGGAAATAGCTTTCCCTGAAGCCCCAAGATGTGCCAGACTCTGCTAGGCACACCAAACAAAGGAATCAGGCTTGTTCTTCATGCCTGAAGTTCTCACAGATCTCACTTCCTCCAGATGCACAGTTTGAGACACACACCATCTATTTCCATTGTACACTCCAAACCCTAACTGCTAATGGACACAGAGCATGTGTAAATTGTCTCTCAAGTCCTCTAGATCACAGCACAGTGCCTTGTTCAGAATATGAACTAAAATATGTTCTTCATAATTAAATGATAATTTAAAAAGTCATATCTTTGATGCTGGGATCCTAGACTCTGCCTCCTTTATTCCTTACTTCTAACATCTTCATTTGAATATTCACACTATTCATTTTATTTTCTATTAGTCCTGCAAGAAAAACAATTGACCTCATGAACTCTATTTCCAGTTACCTACTGGATAATTTTGCTTAGATGGCCTGTAAGTATTGCAATCCAAATATTTCAAGTGAAAGTCTTCACCAGTGCTTCTTCGGAGTTTTCCATTGGCAGTACTATTCAGTCACTCTATAAAGTTGTTAATATTGGAGTCATACCAAACTCCTTTCTCTCTTTGACACCAATTTTGTTGATTTAACATGAGAAATGTCTCTGTTAGTGACCTTTCCACACCATTTCACTGATTTAATACAGTAAAGTAGCTTCCTAATTCAGTCTATTGTCAACTCTTTCACAAATAGTCGATGGTTCCACACAGCAAGTACATCTTTTTAAAAACAGATTTAGCAATATCACAAATAAGGGGGATTTCCTTCTACAATCTCTTTGAAGGAAAATATTGTTATCACTGTTTTGCTTTGTTCTGATTAATGCTATTGTTCTATTCAATGTTCTGTTTTGATAAGTTCTATAATGTTCTGTATTTGGTGTGATGTTGCTATACCTGATTGAAAGCACAACTATTATTCTCTGAGCAACTGTTTGGAAATAAAATCTAACTTCTTAGCATAATAAACTGAACTCCTTAAATCTGGCTTCCAAAAAGTAAGAACTTAATAAATCTATCTGAAAGTCCAGAGATGTCTTCCTAACGCACTGTTTGGATTCTAGTAGGCTATCTGTAACTTTGCAGCAAGTCTCAATGTTACTTGCTTTACATGTGAAGCTTTCCCTGGTTGCTTCTGGGCCCTCTGACTACTTTCTACCTGTTTTGCTCATCTTTTAGTGGACTGTATTGTGGCTTTGGTGATCATTCCTCATCACCACCCACATTTCTTGTTTGGTTCTGTCTGAATCTTCACTTAGGCTGCACTCTCTTCCTGGACTGATTTCTTGATCCATTGCCCAGTCACACCCTTCTGTTTCAAAACACACCTCCTCCCCGAAGCCTTCCTGACTAAGCCCATGTGGTTCTCATCTCATCGTTCTTTGCAGATTGTCTTGAGCCTGTAAAGTATTTAACCCCTCAGAACTATATTAATTCATACTCAAGGCATTTTCATGTTCTATCTTGCCTCTTAGAATTCCCTGTGGGTAGCAACTGTGTGCCTTTTATTCCATTAGAAGTGCTCTCTTCCACTCCCAGTGCGTAGCAGTATCTAATCCCTAGGCTCCATCTAGTGTAAAATGTGGGAGAGCTGCAAGTATGCCTGAAGGCCTGAGTGCTTTTAAAAAAACATGACCACCCAGGGGCAGTTCTAAAAGGGTCAAATAACTTTTTTATAATACAAAAATTGATATGCATTCCTTTTCTTTTTGTCTCTCACCCTCATTCAGAGAGCATAGCTATCTAGATGTGAAGTTTCCACTACTATATGAGACCTGAAATTTTGTGTGAAGCCTTGTGCAATCCTCTTGGGACTCTAGGCTTAGCAATTTCACTACTCAGGAATCTTCAATCTGAAGTAGCTTATGCTTGCCCTACATCTGGTTTTGTACTAATAATGTCCAAGCTTTTCAGTTCACATTCAGATATCATATTTATTGCTAAATCCCCCAGAGGAAAAAATAGAATATTCTTTAATGCTGATACTGAGTACTTTTAATGCTAAGAATGTGGAGGGATTTTAGTTGTGACAATGGTGCACTGAAAAACTGGATATGTTTCCGGCAAGGAATAAAGAAAGATATTACTTACTCAGAGTTGTCCTGGTTACCAGCTTGAAGTGAGGGAGTTCCTCAAACATTCTCTTAGAGATCTTTTCAATATGGAAATGCTGGAGGATGCCTGAAGTCAAGCAAAGATGAGGGAGGTGGTGAACCACTCTCTATCTGGGACCACCAATATCCTTTGCTTCCTGGGCTGAACACACAATTTCATTATTGGGGTTAAGAGTATTGAGCTGGGCTGCAGAATGTGCTTAACTGAGAACTTGCATGGCTGGAGGGTTGTAATTGTCTCCATTTGTTTCCTTGGCTAACTGGCCTCCCTTTGGCTTGTCTTGGGAATGGAAATAAGGAGGATAGTGCTGCTGACCATGGGTCCCCATCGTAGGGAGACACATGGACACAAACATGGATGTTGGTCAGAGCTTCTGCAGCCAAAGGCAACATTAGAAATTCTTCCTTTGATCCAAATTTGGGTAGACTATGTCCTTGTCAAGCCAGTAGGCTGCCCACCTGGCTAAATATTGACAGCCAGCAATAAGATCACAGGAAGATTATTTGTGTAAATGCAAAAGCTACCCTTGTTTCTGAACTTACTGAAAAGCATTTTTTCCATTATGAAATAATCACAGCTACTTTAGACTTCTCTTTAAAGTAGAGTGGTCTGTAAAGTGTCAACCTTGCTCAAATAGCTTTAATAGAATAACAGGTAAACAACTGAAAACTTTCTAGTAGTTAAAGAGCAACATGTAGCAATCTCACTAAAGAGCCTCTAGCAGGCAAAGGAGATGAAGCCTGGATTTTAATCTGGCCCCTAAGCGCAGATCTTCATAAGCTAGCACTGTGCACAGAAGGTAATTTAGATGCTACACTAGTAAGCTACAATCGATCTATACACCACAGTGGGGTAACAAATACCAGGTCCAATGTTAAGGAAGCCAACAGATCAGTACCTTGCCCTAGGTATTCAGTTACAGGTGTGCTATAGAGTTAAAGGTGGAAATGGGCATACTTACATATAAAGCCAAAATAAGCATGAACAAAAATCTCATGTACATTATAGCAAGTATTTTTAAGACATGGGAAGAACACACACTTTAGAGGAAAAAATATATTGTGAAAAAGGAGAGGAAAAATCCTCTAGAAATACAAGAGCAGTATTTCAGAAAGTATGATCTGAGTGCCACCTACATTCAGAATCGCCAGGCTGTTTTAAGCATGCAAATATTTAGATCCTACTAAAGGCCAGCTAAATTTGTGTCTCTGAGATAGAAATAGGTAACTTCATATTAAAACAGCTCTGTGCATCACAACTGAAACACACTAAAATCTGAACACTTCACATCTTATGTGGGAGCCAATAATAAAAGGATGAACATTATTTTCCAGTTAAAATCTCACTTCTGCACATGGATTACTAGAAAACTTGACCAGACTATATGAGTACTAGTCTCGCGGCTATAGAAGAGGGTAAATAGCTGTAGGATCACAGTGAAAAAAATGCAGATCCTTTTGAGTAATCAGAAAAGGAATTGCTCATAAAGACTGGGATTGTTTCTCCAGTGAAATTATATTATTCTTGAAGGCAGAGATGATATTTTCAAATTGTTTTACCCCAGAGTATACAGTACAATTTGAGGTACTTAGTTTCACACTGAATGAATGTGTTGTCTTGTTCGTAGAGCTTCATATTGAAAAGGTAGAGTACAGTTTGGTAGTTTGCAACTCTGACCACATGTTAGAAGCTCCTGTAGAACTTTTAAGAAAAAACATTGATGCCCACGCTCTATTCAGATCACTTAATCAAACTTTGGAGATAGGGTCCAGGTATTTGGTACTAAAAACAAAACAAAACAACTTTGATGATCCTGACATGCAGCCAGGATTAAGAACTACTCCTCTATTTTGGTAGCATGAGAAAGATAACCTTGGGAACCTCAAGGGTTAATTCTTAATCTTTAGCACACACCATAGTTAAATTTGAAAGGTCATAATAACAGCTGTGTTAGGTATATATCAGTTTCTAAGCAATCAAGAAAACTTCTAACCCAAACACAGGAACATGGTGAAACTAAGTACAGGATAAGCTTCCCTTCTTTGTTCTCACCCCCTCTTTACAAAGACAAGAAATTAATGTTGTATTGTTTACCTTTTCGAATGGTCCAAACATGGACTTCTACCTGAGGTGGTCTCTCTGTCTCTAGTGCTATTTTTCTGGTAGTTTCCCCATCCTCCATGAACACAGACTCATATACAGGCATTGTCTCTTCTCCACAAAAGTAGCCTTTGTTATCAAAGGTTTGGCCTGGAAGTTCTTCTGGAAGTAGGAAGCAAGTAGGATTTGGTCATGGTTTTCTAAAGCTAGAAGTGAACTTCTACACTTAGTTATATCAGTATTTATACAATCTTACACTTTCTTATAGAAAGTGAACTGTCAATAAGAATATTTACAGAGACAGAGATTCCATCTTTATTTTGTTACCTCAGGATAGGCTGACCCGGTTAACAGCCACCAAATCACAAAGAAGCATACAAGCTTTGAAGTCCATCTGATGACAGAATCCAAAGTTGTACAGAATGCTGGCCCGAAATTGAAACTGTATCTGCTTACTTCTGTCACTCATAAGTGAACTTACTTGAGGAGGAAAAACATAGCCACATATAAATCTCTAAAGCACGTAAGAGGATATAGGATTTTCCATACTGGATTAGGATCATGCTCTGCCAAACCCAGCGTTGTGAAGACAGACCTAGGAAATGGGCTGACAGAGGGCATTGGGTAACTTCCCTGATACCATTTATATATACTTAGAAAACATTTATGACACTCATTTATGTGCATATACTTGCCTAATGGATCTATCCAAATTGACTTGACATTTCTAAATGCTCCTTGATTTGTTTATAAGAAGAATGATAATACCAGATCAGCACAGTGCCAAAACCTAGATGTCAGATTAGTCATTTGTAGGCTATCCCAAATGAACAGTCGGGAGACCAAAAATTGGTCAAATCCATCAGCTATGGATCATTTAATATAGAAACTAAACTGCCAAATTTCAGCTCCCTAGCATAAAAATACCATCTTACTCTACGCTCCCCTTTCCTCATCCTCCTATCAAAAAAAGTTTTTCTTGGTTGATTATCAGTGAGTTAAGTTTCCTTGCTAGTTTTTAATCAGCATTCTCTTCAGCTGCATATTTTAAGTGTGCATTTAAATCAGCAAAGAATAACTTCAGACACCCTGAAAAATGAGTATGTGCAGAAGCCATTTCTAATAATATCTAATTTGGTAAGGATGAAACCACTAAGTGTTCAGTGCTTTGGATGAGTGACTAATTAAGGAGACTCACTGTCAGCCAATCAGACACATTTGGACTAGAAGTTGTAATCAAATTGCTATTGTGTGTGTCTTGATGATTTTATCAGCTTTCTGACCCTCAAAACCATTTGGTACTATAAGGACCAAGCCATCCTCTTCTCTAGACAACTCCAGGTTGGGTTACTCAATTTGTGGATTATTTTAGGATCATATTTCCTTTCTCCTTTTGTCTTTGTTTTCAGCTGTTTAATTACTTTGGCAGTCCAGTTTTCTTGGTGATGTTAGGCAATTAAGGGATGTATGTTAGCACATTTCAGGTGGATAAAAGAGGTTATGTAGTATACAGTGACTTCTGTGTATTTAATTATCATCTTTAGAATGAGATGTGAGTTCACTGGTTAAAATTTGCTCAGCAGCTTAATATTGGCTACGGGTATAACTGACATATGAAATACATGATGGCACTGGAAGTCCCTGTAATATGCTCCCAATATCTTAAAAGAGTTATCCTGAACTACTACCTCTTCCTCTCAAAGAGTTGAATTCATGAGACCACAGGGATTTATAAACGATGAAACCAATTTGTGACTCAAACCTGGATTATAACTGAAAATGATAAAAGAAGGAAAGTTTGTCTTTAGAAAGATTTATCCACTTTCCACATTCTACCTCAAGGTGCTTTCTGATCTATCCATGCTTACTATGACTAGAAGGGAAATATGCATTTTTATGTGGACCAGTTGTTCTCATAACTGGTCGACATTACTGGTCCACATAAAAATGTTCCATATGTATATATTGACTAAGAGCATATTTGCCTTCTAGTCATGAGAGATTACTTAAATTGAAAGAATAAATGATTTAGCTTTTTGCACACATTACAAATGTTTGGGATTTTATCTGTCTTTATAAAATTTTTGCAGAAGGCATAAAATGTGGAATTCATGACCCTGGGAGTTGTTGATTATAGAACATTGCTACTGGAAAGGGTCTAGGCAACCATCTGCTCTAACCCTCAGCTTTTACAGAAAAGAAAATTCAGCCTCAGAGAGGTAACTTTACTTGTTCTAGGTCATGCAGGAAATAAGTGGCAGAGCGGATGAGAATACTTGATTACCCATACCATTATTTGTAATTTCCATTATTACAGACTTTTTATGTACCACACACCTTAAGCCACTGCTTAAACAGTTTTCCTTAAAGATATTACTGAACATTTTCTACTGGAAAATACAAATACTGAATCCTATGCCTTGGTTTTATTATCAGTTTGTTTCACTACTCTGGGCAAGTCACTTTATATAACTCAGTTTTCTTATCTTTGAAAGATGCACAGCAACATAATCATAGGATTTTAGTGCTAGGAGGTGGGTAGAGGAGAGCTAGGGGGAATTCAGATAATAGACACCAAAATGCAACTACATAGGTGGAATTGGTTCTTATGTTCAGTATAGTAACTATAATCAACAATAATTTATGATTTACTTCAAGTAACTATACAAGTCCAAAGGTTTCCAAAACAAAAACAACATTCAAGGGAATGGAAATGATTACCTTGATTTGATCATTATACATTCTATACATGTATCAAGTTATAATACCTATGATATATTCAATATTATGTCTCAAAAAATTAAAAGAACTGCAACAATAAAAAAAGGATTGCTTTAAAAACCAATTATTCTAACCTTTTCACATATGACTAATGAGATCCACAGTGGACACGACACATTTTCAAGGTCATGCAACCCCTTAGATTTGGACCAGAGCCTGTTTTCCAATGTATCTCATCTGTCTCTTATCCTGTTCAACGGATGTGCCTGGGTGTTGGTGAGTTAAAGTGATAAGTTAATGATGCTACAGTTTTTATAATAATCACAACAACCTAAACTTTCTGTTGAAGTAAGGGTAATGTCATTATTAAAACTACCTAAGAGATATGGCGGACAGAAGGAAATCTTCAGTATATTTCTGAACAGTACATTTTTCCAAGTAACCACCTATCAGTCCCTCAAGAGAAGAAAGAATATTTATTCTTAGTGGAACTGTTACAATTACAATTGATGACAGTTTGATTGTATTTCTAATCCCCAAAGAAAATTGAGAAGGAATACATGTGGATCTCAGTTAAGCAAAAGCAGGGCCTCCAACAAACGCACCTTTTGCTTTTTTACCTGGACACACCTTGCAGCACTTTCCATCTATTTTTTGAGGATATTTGCAGGGATACCGACTGGGGCAGTGTATTTTCTTACACTCTTGCTTCGTGACATTACAAGTGCACAGCACACACTCTACAATGCCAAATGCACGGAGGTTTGGGTGCCAAGACTCGCCATGGGAATAGGTCTTTCCATTTGAAACGCACACTAGAAGAGTACAAAGAAACAGAAATTAAAAGTAGCTGAGATGGGTCCCAATGTTCAGAATACAAACCCTGAACTTCTTAACATATTCTTTCTTTGTGTTATGAGCATGGAGATACATTTATAGCATCCTGAAGCAAATCTATTCAGAATGTCGTGTGTTATTGAGACTATTATCAATCAACACAGACTGATACTGTTATGGTTTTGGTCTGGAATGTCCTCCACAAGATTCATGTGTTCAGAGGTAGGGCTTTGGAAAAATGATTGAATCTTGGGAACTCTATATTCATTAGCCCACTGATGAATACATAGTGAAATATGCTGCTAATCAGTGGAGTCTTGCCAAAAAGGGTAGATTGCTAGGGGTGTGACCAGAAAAGTCCATTCCCTCCCTGGTTTCTTCCTTCCTGGTCATCATTATGTGAGTGCAAAACTGACCTCCATGGCAGGCCCTTTCACCATGCCATTTTCGCATTTGAACCTACAAACCACAGAATAAAACTTCTGAAACTGTGGGTCAAAATAAATCTCTCCTATTTTAAATCATGAGTGTTGAGTATTTTGTCTTCACAATTAGAAAGCAACAATGACAGGTACGGACCTTAATTCTGCTGGAGTACTCTTTGGCATGGAAAGGATAGTGCTAAGACAAACTGAGAGGCACATGCCTCTTGGGTAATTGTGAAGGGGTAGCCTTTTATGCCTCTACTCTTAAGGACTTTTCTCAGTTTCCAATCTTGTAGTGGTTGCATGTGTCTGGCTACAGAGAATCACTATCTTTTCCAAAGATATCTTTTGGCACTCTGATATTTGTTGAGTGTTTTCTAAGGAAAGAAGCAGCACCTGGGCTTCAGGACAAGGGGCCTAAGAAGGGAAGGGACCACAGGAACATCCTTCCATGCACATCAAACCCAAAATTTATTAGGCTGCTATAGTAAACAATGGCACTAGACTCTCAGACATGAAACTCAAACGTCTATGAATGGAAACGTCAGAGAAAGAGTTCTTTCCCCTCTGGAGAGTGCAAGCCACGACTGAGTCTGGGTGTGTTTTTCATTATTCCCATCATCCTATCACACCCAGGGAGACTTGCTGACATCCCAATCAACAATATCTTTAGAGTGGGTTGTATTACTTTGGGTGGGGCTGGGGGGTAGAAATAATCCCACTTACGGCGTTTCTAGGAATTGACTGATTTGGCTGCAAGACAGCAGGCTCAGAATGAATCATGAGGCTATTTCTTTCTCATCAAGTCCGCTGGGTCAGATTAAGAAATGTTGGCCTTTTATTGTTCTTTGCAAAAGCTGCAAGCGTACTGGGCACTGTAACAGGTCAGCCCATGTAAAGATTTCCAAGAATGTGAATCAGAGAGGGTCAGGGTTCCACTGAGTGAGCTGAGTCTTGATAACTAAATTGTGTGGTGCACAGAATGAATAGGATAAAACAAAATGGTACAGTACTATCACTTCTGTTTGAAAGGAACCAGGTAGGTATATGTGAGAAGATAGCGTCATTAGCAAAAGAGCTAGAGGGAAGAGTGAACTATGCCAAGTAGCCAAGCAGACCAGATTCCCAGAATAAAATACCCAGGCACCCTGTCTCTTAAACCTTTGGACTGAGGGAAATGTCCAGATTAGGTAAGAGTACACACTCTGCAGCAGCATACAGTGACGTCAGTTATCTAGAAGGAAATATTGCCTTTTACCCAGCAACAAATACTCAGATGAGTTTGAATCTTCCAGCTGGGGAGTTGGGAGCTGGGGGTGGAGATAAATGATTCTCTAGTGAACTATAACTGAAAGGTCAGAAAAGAACTGCTGCATCCAAATTGATGGAGGCAGATGAGTAAATGTAAACCAGCTGGAGCTTTTGTAGGACACAGATAATTAAGGGATGAGTCCTTACCTTGAAAGAAGCTGTATAGACATTATGTGATTTTGATTTAAAAAAAAAAAAGGTCATTTCCCCACATTTTAGAAAGATTTTGAAATACTTTCGGAGCAAATGGAATCTATGGAGAAAAATTAAAATCAGAGAGCACCTTTACCTAACTCTTTCATGTTTCATAAACTTGCATCAGAATAGCCTGGGATTTAAAAATAATACCTAAATATTTCCAACTCTTTTAATATACCATTATTTATTAACAATTTTATTTAGATTGTACTTATAAGCCTGCAGGGTTCAAAAGCAATTTAATTTTTTATCTGTAATCTGAAATTTACATCTAACCAGTACCAGATGTGATCAACTAGCTTTGGCTTGACTAGATTTGAGATTTATAATAGGAGTTCCTTGTAGTGGATTGTTTTTCACCCATGTTATTCAATCATTTGGTTTAATAATTTACTATATTAACCCATTTAGGAAACTGATTTTAATTTGTGTTTCCTTTAAAGGAAATAAAACATGTTTGTGGTTTCCTAAAAAAGGTTCTAGCTCAGCTGTTGCTTCAAAGAGGTGGTTGACAAGATACTTAAATAAGAAAGGACCAGTTAGGGGTTTTACTAAACTTCTCCTCCCAGTTCTGCTACCAGAGTTGGGTTGGTGGAGACCAGAGAATGTGCATGGGAGAAAACAGGGTTCATGAATGAGCGTAGATGCTTACTGCAGACAGTTGATTGCCCAAGTGGGCTGCAGGTCTGAGCTACCTTGATCCTTGGTGCTCTGTCAGATCGCCTCTTTAATTCTTGCTTGATAACTCATTTTTAAGGACAGTCTCTTTATAGCTACATATTAAACCAAAATCTCTGAGTATAGGGCCAAGAATATTTAACAAGGAGTCCCAGGAGAATCTGGGGTTCACTAAGGTGTGAGAAAGATTATTTCTAAGGCTTTGGTAAGAAAATTGGAAGTATTTGACACTGATTTCCTCTGAATATTGTGTGACCTACTTGCTAAAGATGCAAGGAATTTTCCCAAATGATCTCTGACCCCCAGGGATAGCTGAGAAAGTGGAAGAAGCTGCTTTGCAAGCACAAAGAGTTTTGACTCTGCTTCACTAGCTGCATTTAAGAAGGTCCTAAGAACCCTCAGGAGTCACTTGTTCATGCCTACTTTGTAGACTTGTTAGTGAGGAGTCATATTTATACTGTGCTATTCATGGGAGAAAGGTTTATTTTTCAGCTCCAGGCCTCAGAAGAACAGGCATGCTATGACTCTGATATAGACACAGTACAAAAGAAATATGCCACTTACCTTGTCCATGCTTGTGTTTGTTATTAATGACAATCTGCACAATAGTTCCTGATGCTTGTTGAGAATCCATAAGAGCTCCTCGGTGACTTCTGGCCCCAGGAAAGCGGGGCAACCCACCAGCCTGTCGGTTTGGTGGAGGATCATAGTGAGAGCGATGGTAGGAGTGTCTCTATAAAATGATAAGAACAAATTTGGCTCAAAAGTAATACAACAATGTGATTTCAGAGATTGAGTTACATATATTAGAAGCCATTTGATAAATATGATTTTCAGTGATGAACTCTGACCTTAACTATATGTTACCTACTCTATTCTGAAAGAAGCATGGATGTGAATATGTGAAAGCAGATTAGATTCATAGACAGACCCCTGAGGGAGAAAACAACCGAAAGAGCTAAAGCATCCTTTCTGCTTTTGAGACTCACATTTTTGAGCTTAGATTTAAAATAGTCATCTACAACACAAGGCAAATGATGACAGAAGCCACAGGAGAAGTTTAAAAGTGCTATGCACATTAAGAAGAGGAAGAGTTGCTAGCCAGGGAGGATTTGTGACCTGGTCCATGAAGAACGGGTAGTTTGCTTTTTTTTCCTGTCAGTGTGTGGAAAATATCCTAGGCAGAGATTTTCAAGTTCAGAAGGTGTAGCAGAGAACATAATGTCCATAAAAGGGAACAGCTGAACGATAACATTCCAAAGGAGGCTGGAGCCAGATCATAGAGGACTTCAAATGACAAGCTAAGGGATACTTTATTTGGTAAGTGACAGAGGTGGGGGTGTGGAAGACTGAAGGAATTTTTTAAAGTAGAGAAGTAACTTAATCGGAACTGTGCTTCAAAGCAATGAATCCTGATAATGTGCAAAATGAACTCGGGAGACGGAAACGATGGCAGTCAAGTATAGTCTCAATAAATTCTACAGGGGCTGTAAACATAGGCAGTAGCATAAGATCATTCGGCACTGCATTTTATAGATGAACATTTTTTAAAAAGTACTCAATAGTATTAGAATATCAGCACCACAAAATCAAGGACTTTGTGATGTTCACTCCTATATCTCCAGTGCCTAGAACAATGTCTAGTATATAGAATTGTGGTGGTAAACCTATGGCATGTGTGCCACAGAGGGTTGTTACAACTAAAAGCTCTAAAAGATTCACAAACACTGATCTAGAAGGTGCTCATCAAATATTGGTTGGAAGAATGAAACTAGTCTCCAATCGTGTTTCTTTCAAAGACTCAAAACACATAGTGGCCTCACTATTTGGTGACCTTCCCCTCTACCCAACACTGAAGTAAGGTGTGGATAAAGGAACATATAATAATGAAAAAGGTAACTTTAAGGTTTAAAGACATATGACATAACTGCCTTTTAGGGGCATTTATTAGTGACAAAGGAGGGAAAAAAAGCATTAAGAAATCTTTCATAGGCAATTAGAAAGTAAAACCCTTATATTCAGTGATAGAAGTAGCAAGGAGCCTTGGAAAGACAGTTATAGGGTCCTCTGACCTCACTATCCCATAAAACACTAACGTTATAGCCACACATGTTGCTAATTTAGCTTTTGGAATTAATATTGCTCTTCCGGTGGGAGAGAAGAAGAGTAATCAGGAGCTGGAAAGTAAGAAGACCTTTCTCAGCATTTCGAAAGAACACATTATTTTGTATATCTAAGAGAAGCCAATACTGGTGCATTGTTATAAAAATTCACACAAAGAAGAACCTGCAGCAGTTTGTTATCATGAACACAGACAGGCTCCATGTGCAAATATTTTTCATCCCACAGTGGCTCAGATGTCTTTTTCTGTCATAATCACTCACATTCCACAAAGGCCATTACAGATTGTTCTGACCTTTGTGGAGTTTGGCAAAGTTTTGCCAAATGAACACAGAGAAGACAATTTGGCTAGTGGGTGTCTCACTGATGCTAAAAGAAAGGAGTTTGTCAAGGATGGGATTAGAAAGGAAAAGTCGCTGCCCCAGGATAAACTGCAAGTACAAGAAATTCTCTGGTTCATGATAGTGGGCACAAAACGAGAAGCTGTTTTTCAGTACCAGAGACTCCTATGGTAGGACAATGACTCAAGACAAAAAATAAAAGCCTCAGGAATTTTGATCAGGGGACCTGTAGTAGACCAGTCAGCCTCCAAAATCTCACTTTGTTGCAGTCGTTTGTTTGACAGAGAAACTGAAACCAGGGAGGAAAGATGTATTTTCCAGATGATTGTGAAGACTGAGCTTTTGGAGAAGATAGGTGAGTGAGAATGGGAGAGGAAGGACAATGGAAGGTGATTCAAGAAAGAAGAGGAAGAGAAGAAAAAGTGTTCCGTAAACATTTGGTTAAAATTCTTTGGTCACACTGTTTACAACTAATGGTTATGCTATTATAAACTTGAGTATGTATGTATCTCTGTAATATGATGACTTTAACATTTTTGGGAAGATACCTGGAAGGACGATTGCTGGGACAAAAGTAATTACTAATTTTAGATTTTTGATACATCTCCCCACTGATTTCCATACTGGTTGTATGAGTTCACATTCCTAGCAACAACGCAGAAGAGTGCCTTTTATCTCACATCTTCACCAGCATGTGTATTATTTAATTTTTTGATAATAGTCATTCTTTCTGAGGCAAAATGGTATTAATTTACATTTCTGTCATGGCCAGCGATATGGAACAGTTTATCATGTGTTTATTAGCCATCTGTACTTTTTCTTCTGAGAAGCATCTATTCATTTCAGTTGTCCATTATTTGGATCTGTTTATTTGGGGGAGCCTAATTATTTTTACTTGAAATTTCAATTTCAAAAGTGTCTTCAGAAAGTATTCTAATTCATACACTCGTGAAAATATTTTATCTTAGTCACTACTAACTTAGAACAAAACTTTGCCAGCAGACACTTAGACCAGTTTCCTATTCAAGTCATTGTTCTGACAATGTGAATGAGGCAAACATTTTTATTCATTTCATGTTTTTTTTCTATTCTAAATTCTTTCAGTTTTATAATGGTAAATTCAAGGTACAGTGGTGCCTAAGTTTACAAATTTAAGTCTTCCCACAATTCTCATCACAAATCAAATTAGAAGAGAGCCAAATCAAATTAAATATTTAGGTTCAATATTGACCTTTTTGGAAAAATTGATTTTTATCTCTTTTGACACATTTGTGATCTGAGGCACCACTATAATTTATAAGGGAGCAAAACACAAGTCGGGCTGTTGTCCAAGACAAAATCGTTTGCTCTCATATTTTGGCTTTCAGCTCTGCACCTATATACTTCTCATTTCCTACATACCATAGTCACTCACATAGCACGTTCCTTCAAATGATACAAGAACAGATTCATAAGAAATTATGACCTGGAAAGCAAAAACTATATGAGGTTTTTACTAAAGAGACATACTGAAGTTACTGGCTCGCTTTCTTATTCAATTTCATACAACTTGACAAACTGATATTTTTCTGCCCATTTGGAAAAATAATCAGCCATGTTTCTATAGAACTGAAGGTTTGATAGTTCTCAATAAATAAAACAGTCTATGGGTTAGAAAATGTGTTGTTGGTGGTACTATTTTTTCTCCCATGCAAGCAATTGAGCATACAAAGAATATTCAGAATGGATTCTACTATATTCTTACTTTAACATGGTCAAGAGCAAAGAGTAAAATTGAAGAATTTCTCTGAGAAAAACTCCTGTACATTAAAGTATATCATTCCCTCTCTTCTCATGCCCCACTCCTACATATTTTACTCTACTTTTCACACCAATTCATTCAGCATATATGTATTGGGTGCCTACTATGTATATCTACTTTTGCATCACTACAGATGCTATGCATTTTTGGAGTCATACCCCACAATATCTATCCCTTTTAGAACAAAGGAAATATTTACATAAAATAAAGAAAAGCCATCTGCCCATTTTGATCTACCAATCTTAAATATTTTTTTTTCTAAACACAGCTCTTGAACTTTGTTTAAAATCAACTTCAATGCCCTGTGTTCTGTATCTTATCTCTTTTGCTACAAAATGTCTTGCAGTAAGCACTTTCCTATCACTAGCAGTTTGGGGAGTACAATGAAGCTAAAAACAAGAGATGGTGTTGGTAGTACATGAAATAAAGTAAAAAGCAAGGTTAATTACTGGCATCACCAGCAGGACTCGTAAGGGGGCCAGAGTGCTTACTGTGGATGTCTAATAGCTTAAGGTGACTGACCTCTCAAATTGTTGTGGAGTGACATCTGATTACCAGTCATATTTATCCATTCTCAGCTTCTGACTACAAAGAAAACTTGGAGTTAAGAGAAAACTCACAATACAGAACACTGAAACTGACACCATTTCCTGTTAGGATCTTTAAGGTACCTCACTGTAAAACACATATGAGGTAGATGAAAAAATCCATCCTTGGAATCTATAGTAGCTAGCAACTAGGAAGCCTACCTCTTGCGAGAAGTTGTGTTTTTTCCCCAAAGTGCCTAGAGTACAATTTTGCATTCCTTCTACATTCATTCCTGCAAACAATGCTGCTATAGAATAAAGCAGGTAGAAAGTATTTCATCTCAGATCTGAGGCTGTGTTGGGTGGTGACAAGCTGGAGATGTTTAAAGTAGAATTTGCCCATATGACAACCAGGAAGGACAGCCAAACAACATGGTCATATTTGTGTCAGTACACCATTGCATACCCTATGAACCCCTTCTGCAACCCTAACTATCCTCAGGCCTGCTGTATAACTCTTTAGGCTCCTGTCTTTTCTGCAATATTATATCATAATAAATTCCTAAAGTTTTCGAAAATCATTTAAATTTTATTTATTCCAAAGCTAATTCATGCTTATGGAAAACATCAAATAGTACAGAAGACAACATAAAAGGTCAAAGTATATCTTTCCTCCTGTCTCTTCCTATCCCACTAATACTATTGCTGTGAACATGCTTGTGTGTGCCCTTCCAGATATTTTTGCATGCATTTATACACATGTACACACAATTTTTACAAAAGGAAAGCATCTTGTTTTACTATACAATATGTCTTTGAATTCTTTCCACTTTACTACAATTAAATATACCATATTCATTATAACTAACACAGAGTGTCCCATAGGTTGGGTGCATTTAACCTAGCATCTTTTAATAGTTACTTATGTTGTCTCCATTTGTTTCTTATTCGTATGAAAATAATTCTGTAATAGAATTCCCAGTATAGTCCTTGTACAAGATTTTTAATGAAGACCAATTTATGTGCAATGAACACCTTTGTACATTCTGTACTTTTATAAGGCTCTTAATCTGATTCATTATTTGAATTGAACATTTTTAAGATTTTAGATGTTTGAAGTCTAGTATTTTTTAGACTTGCATTTTATATGAGAAGGCTTCTGTTTTGTTGCTTGCTTTAAAATGCAAAGGAACAAAAGATATTTCTAGTGTATACATAGAGACACCTACTTATGAGGCTTATGCTGCGATTAACACTGATAACATAAATGAGATATTACAGGATGAAGGCAAGAGTATCTGGCCTACTGTTTTTCTTTTCTTTTAATTCTATGATCATAAGGCTTAAGGCTTATGGGAAGGTTTATGTACAAAATATACATCAAATCTCACAAGAGGATAAAGTGGACTACTTACCAAACCTAGCAGAAGATCCTTGCACAATCTTTACTGTTGAGAGAAGCAGTGGCATGCCTTTCTACCAGATTGAATGATTTGGCAGGTCTTCTCTTTTGGGATTTAATACTATACAGATTCCGATCTACAGGAAAGGGTGTGGTTTCTTTGTGTTTATGGCCTGGTCCTAATTATCAATTACAAAGTGCTCTTAAATGCTTAGAGGTTGGTGATGATGATTTTCAAGTTTCCAAGGATGAGAAAGAAAAATGGTGTTAGAAATGGGCCCTTTTTGGATTTGTCAGGATAGTAGTCACAAGAGAGGATAGCTATGCCTGAGACTGTGGAGTGCTGAATTACAGTACTTGAGCTATTGACACTTACTGCTTCTCTGTTGGCAGGTTGCCGGAAGATGTCACCATCAGAATGTTCCCACGATAATTCTCCATCTCCTGTTTATTAAAAAGGAATAAAAACAAAATCATACACATACAGAAGAGAAAATACTGGCCTTTGTAATCCAGGAACATTTTTATTAGTATAATTCCAAAATTCTCAGGTGTTTTAGCTCTTGGGACTGTTCTTTAAGAAACAGAGCTGAAAGATACTTCTGGGTGTTCCTCATGGTTCAAAATGTCTCTGAATACAGTTGCCACTTACTAAATCACCTAAAAATGTTATCCAGAATTTGGAAAATAAAAGAAAACATAGTCATTTACCTTATTATAGTGATGATTAACATATTTGCTTATTTTATTCTGGTGACAGTTAAATATTTTATAGGTCATATATAACTTGCATTTAAACTAATCTTAAACAATGAGTTTTGAGGATTTGGTCCTTCATGAGTCAAGTTCACCACGATGTCTCTGAGAAATTATGAGTTGATCTAAGGTGAAAATTGCTATGATTATAGTATTTACATAACAAATATCCAAGATGCTCTCCCTTATGTTTGCCTGACACACTTTTCTCTATGTGTATAGGATCTACTCTTTGGATAAAAAACACTTGTCATTCATGTATTTCAGAGTAACTTCTTTTATGAGAAGGACTGTACTTTAATCTTTAGCAGCAACAAATATACAACACACTCAGAAATTCCTCAACTAACTGAAATTAAGAACAATATGATAATTTTCAAGAAATTTGTGTTACCCAGGAACAAGTGGGAAAAGCTTGGTCATAGAAATATTCATACTACTCTAAATAAATGCCATTTAAATTATGTGGCTAAAGATAAGCACTATATTCAACCAGATATTTCATAGAATGACAAGAAATACAGAAAAGTACACTTATAAAGAATTTCTGTTTGGGTTTCAAAAACCTAAAAACAAATTATAACATGTTCATGGTTCAAGAATGTAGCAGTATTGCTAAGGAAGTTTATGTAATACCATTGGCTTTTAGTTGCTTGGAAAAGACCTGACAGTTAGTTTGATGGTAATATTAGAATAGAACAGTCACTTATAACAAAGTATAACTTTTACATTTAGTAATTCAAAGAAAATATTATGGAAAAATTATGAACCTTGAAGATTTAATTATGATTGCTAGGTTATACTTGAAACATCACTTTGTATGGTCACATCATTACTTGATCAAAACCTTGAGTGAGTTCTCATTGAAGACTGCAAAATCAACGCCCACATCATCTTCGAGCACTAATTAACTTCTATTCATTTCTCTCAGCCATACTAAAATGAGAACACTTTGATCTCCTGGGTTCTTATTTGAACATGAGATGATCATTCTTGCTTCTATACTTTAATTCTTCTGATTTATGTATTTATTTATTTTTGAGATACGGCCTTACTGTATTGCCCCACATGGTCTCAAACTCCTGGGCTCAAATGGTTCTGCTGAGTCAGCTTTCCAAGTAGCTGAGACTAAAGGTGTGTCCCTCGTTTTGTGTTTTTCTTATGAATTTATCTTCTCATATCACACGCCTCCTAGTTTCCCTATGCCTACAAAAATCACTTAAGATTTTGTCCACAAAGTATTCTTGAAACCCACTTATATATTTGTGACTGCCCAAAGCACTTCATATCTGGTAGCACTAAGAAATGTCGAGAACTTCAGTTATAAGTTTGCTTGATTGCTCCATTTAGCAGATAGAAGAACCAATGCTCAGAGCAGGGAAGTAGACATTCACAGTGAAAGAATGAATTTTTGAGAATTAACACCAAAACTTTAGGTTTCCTGGATACCAAATTCTATGAAGGCAAGTTTTATTCTTTGTGTTACTTATGGATATGACTGCATCATCTCTAGCCATGTCTGATAGTAATCATTCACCTATTATCATTCAATATTTGTGAAATGATGGATCTAGAAAACATTTTCTGATCACTCTATCTAAAATTTCAATCTTGTAATATTTCATATTCTTTTTACTTTTTTCATAGAACTTACTATCTTCTGTTTTATATGTTTTATTTCCATTTTCCTCCACTAGAATTTCTCCATGTGAACAAGAATTTAATCTATTCTGTCCACTGATCTAATTTTATTACATTAATGGACACATAGTACTCATTTAGTATTTGTTGAATGAAAGAATGAATGAGTGAATTCTGAACGATTATACCTTTGAAATGTGATACCATGTCACTGTAGACCATTATATATCCCTTTGCTCACAATTCAAAGTGTGGTCTGTGGGTCAGAAGCATTGACATCATCTGAAAATTCGTTAGATATGCATGATTTTGGACCCCATCTAAGATCTACTAAGTTGGAAACTCTGGAGTGGGGCCAGTGGTCTAGATTTTGACATATCCTCTAAGGGATTCTGCTATATGCAGGTATTTGAAAATAACTGGGCTGGAATTCTTAGCATATTGCAGAGTAAACTTGAGGTGCTCAATACCATATGTACCGAACTAAACTACAGTAAAAATACAAAATTAAGTTTGTAGCCAGTAAACTAGTCAATAATAACCAAAAATCAGTAATATGCATTGAACACCTAAGTAGAGAGTCTAACACTAGATAATGTAGGACGATTGAAGAAATTAGGCCAGGCCTTTATGCTCAGCATATTTATAACATCACTAGAAGTAACAAAAATCAATACAGGAAACATTCTAAAAACACAGGAGGATAGGCAACTGAAAATACAAATGGATACTATATGCTTCCAAGACATTGAATGGGAAGAATAAGCAATTAGATGTAACTGCAGTGTTCTAAAAGGTATCAGCCACATCTTTAGAAGTAGATGATATGTTATAAATGGACAGTCATGTGGACAGAGAGTATGAATTTAAAGGAATGACATTTGTGAAAAACACATAAGAAAGTAACAAATCATACACTGGAGGCAGAAAGCAAATTATGACTTGAGTGGAAACTTAAAATTTGAAAATGAGAAATGGGGCTGGAAATTTCACTGGGAGAGAGAAAGGAAAGAGAGGGAGAAAGAGTAGGATGATTTGTTGAGGCAAATAGATGTAGTAAATATTTGCTACATGAACTTCAAAAACAGGCTGAAAAATTTACATTTGATCCTGCTACTAATTTTATTTAGTTGTTCTAGTATTTGTGGGGGCTTCTTCAGGTAATAGAGTGTAGACTAGCTGGGGTGAAACTGGAACACAAGTGAATAACCAGGGAGCTGTTATAGAAACAGGTGATAGACCGTTCAATAATAGAGAAGAATGGTTTAATTCCACTATTTCAGATACAAAGAAAGTTTGTGGTGGTATATTTGATCAAGGAAGAAGGCAGAGGAGAAAATATTATAAAATGACTCTCAGATTGCATATTTGGAGAACTTGACAATGCCACTGACAGTAACTGAGTAAAGATACTTAGATTTACTTGGCCTGTTTTAGCTGGCAGTGGTGACTCTGAGCCAAATGAAAATAGACCAGAAAGAAGATCAGAAACCCTAAAAGTTTCATTTAATAACTAGCAAAATGAAATGTTAATGGTATAATAACATGATTTCAAGTCTAATCTAAGTAGTTAAAAGGAACAAATAAATCACAAAAGAAAACTCATAAATAGCTTTCTTTTTAGGTGTCTTTTAAAAATGTATTTCATGAATATAATCAATGGAAAATGTTTACTCAGCATGGTCTTCTCAGAATTTCATTGGATTGTATAAAGGCACTGGAATTTTAAAAGAGCTCCTATATAAAGATTGTCTTTAAGCAGTTATAGTCCAGTGAGAAGGTCAGAGCCTTATAAAGCATAAAGTTGCTGCTCCAAATGAGCAGAAGGTAACATGACAAAGCAATGAGGCAAGTCAGTATCACACACGGGAACAGAAGGTTAATACCATATAACACAAGTTCAGATGAGTATGTCAGAACTTGTATTTGAAAATCTGAGCACTTGTAGTCAGGCATGTGCATTTAAACTGGAACGATTTTACTTTGTTAAAAATTGCTGGTGTCTCTCTCACTCCCTCCCCCTCTCATGTGTCATATATATATATATATGTTATGTGTATTCATGTAATACATTCACATATATATCAGGAGTTGCCAATATTTCTTTTGAGCTATCAAAGTCATCATCTGAGAATTCATTAGATATGCATGATTTTGGACCCCATCTAAGATCTACTAAGTTCGAAACTCTGGAGTGGGGCCAGTGGTCTAGGTTTTGACATATCCTGTAAGGGATATGTCATATAACATATAACATTATCGAAGCTTAAATGTTATATTAAATAGCTGCTAAAGGTTTTAACACTTTAGTTATCTTATTTAATTTCTTTTTTTCCTCTCTCTTTGCGACAAGGTCTTACTATGCAGTCCAGTGTGACCTTGAGCTCAGTTTGTAGTCCAGTATGGTTTCGAACTTGCAAAGGCCCTCTTGCATCAGCCTCCCAAGCCCTGGGATTACAGAAGTGTGCAACCATTCCCCGGTATATCTTATTTAATTTCAATCAGAGTTAAAATGAAATTAACTTCTCAAAAATTGACACTTCACATAGCTATAAATGGCTCATTAGATCTGTAATAGTGTTTGTTTCGAAACTTAAATATGGATACATATGTCAATTCATAATTGTAACTATTATATCTTGGAAAAATGTTCATCAATATCCTAAAAAGCTTATATTTTTTTCTGATTGATTGGACAATTTATCTTGAGTGGGATGTGGCCCTTTCTGTCAGTCAAGGTTTTCTGTAAAAAGGAATGATTCTAGAAGAGACAAATGGATTCTAGTTAATCCCAAGAAGCAGCAAGATGTAATTTTAACCAATTTTTTAATCCAAATGAAAACAACTCTATTGTACTGAATGTCAAACAATATTAATTTAACTTTTAAAATCCACATGTGTTGTTTCTTCATACTCATTATTTGACTGGCACTGTGTGCCCTATTATTGATCACTTGTGTTATCCAGAAATAACCACATATTGGCAAATTTTGGTGTCTGTGTTTATTTCAGTGGGTATCACAAAATCTCACTGTATACTTGGTTCT